ACTTAGCAAAATAGTGTATGGAATTCCAAGGCTTTTACTTACTACCGGTCCTTGTGCCGGGCAAAGATTTTAGATCCGATTGATTCTAGGAATACGTATCTCCCCCGTGTGCCATTCTCTGTCACAAGAAAACCGCCGAGAGTCGATTGGCTCCGCTCGCTAAGCTTCATTTTCAAAATACATTCTCCTTCCCATTTATTTATTGGAATAGCTCCTCCTCCTCTTCCTCACACTCCATGCAGCTCCTCGTGCTCAAGATGACCACAGATACCATGGCCGCTTTGCAACGCGCCGACGAGCCGCCGGCGGACGACCAAGACGAACTGCAGAAGCGCGAACAGGCTGCCGGGTGGATATTGGTGAGCTGGAGGCGAAGCTTTGCTCGAGATCAACCAACTTCTCGCCAGCGACGACCTCAGCCCCGAGCAACGCAAGGAGCTCGAAGATAACCAAGGCCGACACCGAGAACTACCTGGACTTAAAGTTGCGCCGATTGAAGGATGCGCTGCTCGACAAACTGGCCAATCTCACCAAGTACGGCCAGGAGAAGCAGAAGCTCAACTCGGCTGCCGAGCCTGTTGAAGTGGCACTGAATACCATCTTTGACAAGTATGCCAACCAGGCCCCTCCGCCATTCCTCGTCGGAAAGGACGACTTGAGCCGCGCCGACGGAGTGAAGGCCTGGCTGGCTGATTCCGCAGCTGCGAGCCGTGGTTACCGCAAGGGAATGGCTGCACGACAATCTGCCATCTCGCGAAGCCGATCTTGACGCCCAGCTGGATGATCTCAAGTGGAAACAGAGAACCTGAACAGCCTCATCGACGAATTGTCCACGGGAAGTGCAAGCTGGCGATGCCATTCGAGCTAACTATGATCCCCAGCTGCCCCCTGTCGCCGATGGCCAGGGAGACCGGGCGATGGCAGCCCGTCGAACAGGAAATCTGTCTGATCCGGCTGCGCTGAATGCTCTGAAGAGCGAACTCGAGCCACTCATCGCTCGCGTTGCCGTTGAGAGAGGATGCAAGCCGAGAGCCACCTCGCCTCACCGGACAACCAGAAAGTGTTGATGCCGATAGGCTGACTGATCGACTCAGCAACGTTGACAATCTGCTCAACGATGAGGAGAAAGAACGATGCAGGCGACTTGGGCTTCTGGCTCTTTCAAACGATGTGGTCGCTCAAGCTCAGGCTATCGACTCAGTGCTTGCCCGTGCTCACGAAGTCGAAGGAAACCCGAATGCTTCTGTTGATGAGCTCCGCCGGGCCGCCGACCAACTCGAACAAGGCCGCCCTCTACTGGATACCCTCAACAACGACTACGAGAAGATCAAGGCACTCGGAGGCGGAAACGCCTGAGGGCGAGGAGCTGGCCGTTGCCACCCTCGAGCGTTTCGGAAAGGCCACCGAAGCCATCAACACGGCCAACATCAGCGCTCCCAAGACCGTGCCGATGCCCTCGAGGTTCTGCGCAAAGAAGGCTGATGGAGCCGGAAGTCAGTCTGGCCGAACTCGTTGACGAAGCTAACCGCCTCGGCCGCGACCCAGAAGCCCTTCCAAGCAGCTACGAACCGACGGCCGGCGAAATGTGCGTGAACAACTTTCTACTGCCTTCCTGGTAAGCTGCTCGCCAGCGCCCGAGACCAAGATGGCGCATACCGCCTCGCCGGCAACAACCATCGATGCGGTCGAAGCTCTTCTCCCAGTACTCGACGACCGAACCCACTTACTGGAATGAATTTGTGGCTGCTCTCGACAATGCCGAACGGGGCTTCTCGAGAACATTGGAGCCTCAGCTTGATGCCCTCCAGGGGAAGCAGCCCGAACGATCTCGCTGCCGTATAGGATGATCTGGAAGAAGCAAAACGTTTGAAGGGTCAAGACGTGGAACGGCTAAAGGAAGCCGCCCCGAGAACTGCACCCCAAGACTAGTCCGAGCTGCTCGACCCACTCGAGAGTGCGTACGCCGATGCGCGATTCTTGGATGCTGACATCGATCAAGAAGGTCGCCCAATATCGACAACTTCATGGCCGATCTAGCCGAGATCGAGGAGAACTGGTGGGGCGTTTGATTCCGCCACAAGAAATTGGCCGAAGAACTGCGCCGTCTCCTTGCTGATATCCCGCAAATCAACGATGTCGACAGCTGGACCGCCATTGCCGGACATGAGATTCCGGCACTGAAGGCTCAGCTTGACTTGTGAAGGTGAAGCATAGCCAAAGCTAACGACGGCACGCCACCGTGTCTCCTGCCGAGTCCCCCGTTTATCCCCTCGAGGAGAAGTTGAATGCCGTCGAAGCGGCCCTGGATAAGGCTCGCAAGCAGAATGCCAACGAGGCTGACAACGAGCGATTGCTGCTGGTTCTCAACCTGCAGCTGGAGCAAGTCGAACAGCTCCCACTCGACAATGTGTCTGTTGAACAACTGGACGCTATCGAGAAGCAGCTCGAGTCTCTGAAGCCTGCTGGAGCCGACCAAGTGCCGCCACAAGTCCAGGCACAGCTCGACAAGATTGCAGAGCTGAAGGCCCGAAAGGACAAGCACGACGCCGATGTGGCTCAACTTGGAGCCGCTCTTGACGACATTCGCAAGAATCTCAACGAAGCCGACAAGCTCGCCCATCCCACGAAGAAGGGCAAGAAGGGCAAGGAACAAGCCGTCGCACCAACCACCGATGCGCTCAAGGAAGTGGTGGCCAAGCTGGAGAACGAGGTGCTACCAGCCCTCGCACAAGTCAACAATCAAGCTGCCTCCACCCCTGGAGTCGAGCCCCAGCTTCAGGCTGCCAACGAGCTTCAAGCCAAGGCTCAAGAGCTGCTGGCTGATGCCCAGAAACGGCTGGACGACCAGATGGCCGCCGATGAGAAGGCAGCTCGAGTCGAAGCCAAGCTCCTCGAGATCATGGTGACCCCAGATGGAATCGGCGCTTCGAAAAGTACCGCCGAGCCACCGCACTTCCATCAAGGCAAATTGCACAATATAATATGCAGTAAAACGCTCATTTCAGGGGACTCGAACGAGGATTTCAAGCAGAACCTGAAGCGTTTGGAGCATGCCAAATGCTTCAATCCGAAGCGGGGCAGCATTTCCGATTTGGCAATAGCAAATGTGTTGCTTCGAGGCCCGGCTGGTGCCTGGAACAGCCCGGCGTCCAACGAAAAACTTTGAAAAGTGAAGCCGAGGGAGCAGAATTAGGAAATCGGATCGGTTTGACGAGAAAATGCGAGGAGTGCGGATTCCATATGACATTCGACAGTTCTTCTGCTGCTATGATTGCGGAACGGTAGGATCAATCGATTGTCGCACTCCAAATCCGAGTTAAAAATTTACGCCAAATTAATTATGCGATCCTCAAAGAAGTGACTTCACTATTACGTTAATTTCTTTCTGAAACGTAAAAAATTACGAATTTAATTACCTAAAACGTATCTGAACTATTCATATGAAAATTCAGGTCTAGCAAACAGTATTAATAAATTTACAGTAACTCTACGAAAGTTCCAGAAAACTATCTGCGGCGCGTGCGGACTATCGGACCACAAAACACACAAGACCGTCAAGTTGACGATCGTGAATTAGAGGGACTACGCGCCGAGATTGGCGTCGAGCAGAAACACCTCTACGAAGGACTGGCGGGGAATATCACTGGACTACACGACTGTGACGCGGGATGCCGTTAATGCGTTATTGGCGGCCAAGGAGGCGGCGTACGGTGTGATTGAGCAGCAACGTACTCTAATAGGTCAGTGACAATTACGCGGCAAAACTTTATTAACGAAGAGAACTTCGTCAAACCCCAAAAATTCGTTTTGCTTGACGGGCTTCGTGGGCGGGGAGCGGAAAAATAAAGAGGAAATCCATAGACATGTCTAACACGTCCCGTTATACATTTGCTCAAAAGTTAAAATTTTTTAAAAACTACAAAACCTAAATTTTTTACAAAAAACCTAAAAATATAATAAATTTTTCGAAGAGTCGCGTGTAGCGGGTGCGGCCAATAACTCAAACAATCCACTTTTTAGATGGCCACAAGGTGCGGGAAGAGATGCGAGCGGCGGCAAAGAACTTTGAGGAGTACTGTGAAGACTACATCCCGCTGGTGCGCTCACTGAACGATAGACTGCACGAGACGAAGGAAAACTCGACAAGCTGTTGCTACCAAAAACTCAAGAATAAAGTTTAGTTTGTTGAAATAAAGCTTGGAATTTCGAAAATTTAGCACACTGCGCATTTTCGAAGACAGAAACTGTGTGGCAAGGATAAATAAAATTATAGCTAGAAAGAAGGCAATGCGCTATACTTTTTAAAACGTTTAAAAAGATTTTAAAATGATGAGAGAATTCGTCGAAATTCACGTCCATAATACATATTAGAAGGCAGAAATTATTAATCTTGAATGTATGAATAAATCTGGGCAGGCTAGCAGAGATCCCTAGACCCATTTTACGTAAAACCCCCGATAAAATGCACGCACCTTGGCTAAAGCGGTCCCGGTGCCCGTCTGTTGCGCGATGAGGACCGGCTGGAGCACCACCTGGAATCGCAGTGATAGAAAATTAGGTAGATTTTTACTGGCTTGTAAGGCAGGTAAGTTTGTTTTTAAAGTATTGTAAACTTATTAAAAGCTACAAGTTTTAAATATAACCTCCATTGTATCAAAAACTAACTCAGTAAAATTACGCCCTTACCGTAATTGTCAGGCGTCAATTTTGCGCCCAAATTGAAAATTGTAAAATCTGTAAAATCCATGGAAGTCGCATCTCTCTTACCAATTAAATAGTTGCGACATTTTTTAATACGAATAATAATAAATTAAATAAAGTTACTTTTAAATTTAATCACGCGAACGGTTGCTGTTATTTTAAAATCAGATCTATTGAAATATATCGTTTTAATGTGCTTCCAACGAAGTATTTAAAGGCATGTATTTTAAACAACAACCTAAAAAAACGGAATAATAGCCCATTAAATCTTTACAAACAATTTCACTTTGAGATTTTTAAATCTAAATTTAAGACCAATAAACATTAAATGCGTTAGACCGGGTTACTAAAAAAATGTCGAAATTCTCAATGTCGAAAATCATAATGTCGAGACTGATAGTGTAGAAGTTTGATATTGTAGAAATGTCAGAATGCGGGCGTTTCAGAAAGTCGAAATTTACATAAGCAAATCTCGCAGAGAAAAATCCAAGTGCTATGCAAAAATTCGATATATCGACATCATGAAATTTTGAAATTTCGGCTTTTTGAAATTTCGACATTATTATTTTCGACATTTTCAAAATTTCGACATTATGATAGCAAATCCATTAACTTGATGCTTTACCACTTGATGGCCAGCCTCAGCCAAAATATCGGCAACTCGACCGACAAAATTCGTATGTGACGGGGCATAGCGCGGGGAATAGACGAGAATATTCAGGGCCAAAAGACGCGGCAAAAATGTTAAGAGAATATAGAAAATTAGCATATTTAATGGGGCTTAATAGAGAATATATATAAGAGAAAAAATACTTCAAATAGCGCTTGACCCCCGCGGAGGCAGACAGCTGGGTGTCTTGGTCAACTACAGCTACCCCGCATCGAAAATCGGGGTGATAAGGGGGGTTGAGAGTGTTTTTGCCTGCGCGTAGACACAAACTATGTCGGTCCTTATTGTTAGGCCCAACGATACGGGGGTCAGCGGAAGCTTTAAAGTGATAGCGAAGCCAAAAGATTTATTTCCGGGATGTTTACGCCAAAAAAGTTAGGTACTTTCGCGTTATCGGGGGGAGGGAGATTTTTGTATAAGTCTAGAAAGGCCTAGTAACTTGATAAGACGTATTTTACCAGTCTATTTTTTTAGTATATAAAACAATTTTTCTACTAGAAAAACTATCTGAAAACTTTAAAAAATTCTCAAAAAGTTGAAATGTTGGCCAAAAATGTCGATTTTTATTCGAAAAATCGATGTTTTAGCAGCTTTTCACTAAAAATCTGCACAGTTTTTACGTTTAGTAATAGCTTAACAACATTCGCGGTTTCTATTCCTATTTTTTTTCTATTCGGATCCTGGAAAAAATGGTACTGAACTGTTAGCGGGGGAACCACTTCTTGTTTCCCTGCTAAGAATAGATAATGCATTTTTAACGTGTTTTAAATGGTTTTAGAATGCTAAAAAGTTATAAAAATATTCAAAAAATTTTGTAAATTCGAAAAATTTTCTTTTTCCTCCATTTTCATCCATTTTTGACCAAAAGTTGGACAATTTCGAAAATTTTTTGACTTTTAACAAACTTTGATACGTCCTTAGATAGTTTTTCGAGTTGAAATATAGATTTTTAGTGAAAAAAATTTAACAATACGTCCTTTTAAGTTACTAGGCGTTTCTAGCTTTCACAAAAAATTTATCCCCCCCCCCCCGATAATGCGAAAGTACCCCCATTTTCCAAACCAGTTCAAGATCACAATTTCCCCGATGACAAACTGCGCATTCGTCATGGCCGGTATCTGGTAGAAAAACTTATGGCTGCAGCGCGGGAGGACGCCAATAAATCGTGAATCTACCGTAACCCTGGCCCTCTTTTGCGAGTCCGTTGGATGACTCAGTACGAACAAACATGTCACCCACAACGCTCGGAAAAGCCCATAAAATATCGGGTTGAATTGAAAGGAGCGGGAGGAGGGCATCCGATACAAAAGATTCACGCAAATATTTCACCAAAAAGGGGGAGGGCCAGAGGAAAAGCCGAAATCTATCACTCGGCTTCAACCAGTTCAGCCAGTTCAACAAGGTCCCCCGATATTTCGATTTCTGTTTTTCTACTTGGTTGCAAAAAATGGAGTTTTTCGGCAGAATACTTCAGTTCTTCTTGTTTATAATTGGTAAGTCGAGTCGGCAAGCTTTAAAACGAAGTCACCTAAGCCGATAAAGCCCGCTTTAAAGGCACTATAAAGCTTAGGATCACGCTGGCGTTAAAGTACAAACTTGGAAAATCAAAAAAATTTGGCGGGAATACTAAAATTCTTCTTTTTATAGCTGATAAGCCGATAAGCCTTAAAACGAAGTCAGCGAAGTCGATAAAGCCAGCTTTAATGACACCAGAACGCTTAGGATATCTGGTTTCCGCTTCTAAAACTCGGCTGCAAAAAAATGGAATTTTTGATCAGAATACTTCCATTTTTCTTTTTTATAGTTGGTAAGTCGAGTCGGCAAGCTTTAAAACGAAGCCATCTAAGTCGATAAAGCCCGCTTTCAAGGCACTAAAAAGTCTAGTTTCACGCTCACTGAAAATCTACGCTTCGAAAATCAATAAAAAAAGCTTGATGCTAAATCCTTGCCAATTTTCTACAGTAATCCGGGTTGGCAGCGTGGCAAAAAAACTACTTTTAAATTCTGCCTTCCCGACAAAAATCAAAGGTAAATCAAAGGCTCGAAAAACACCGACAGAGCTTCTTCCAATTTTATCTGCAAAAACATGCCTAAATTACAGTACTCCAGTCCACAAACGCTCAAAACGCTACGCTGACGGCTATTGACGGTTCCTACATTGCGTTTGGGGATACGGTGGGCAAGACGGTGGTGAGTCAGAAGTGTCCCCATCCCTTTAAAACCTATTTCCACAGTTAGTAGTGGATAGTGATTGCGCGGACTGTCTAATCTACGTTCAACTATTTGTCGACGCCATCACCGCCACAACGTTCACGATCAGCGACGGGCCCGATACGGTCGAGTACGTTTTTTGCCTATTTACGGTTCAAAAAATACGTTGTAATTCTGTTCAAAAAGCTAAGTGGTAGTAAAATCGAATATTTTTAGCTCGAAAAACTTCACGGCGCCCCGGTTTTTTGGCCCCAAGGTTACGGTGGATTTGCAGAAGAATTACTACTCCAACTACGTCCTTTCCTTTACACGAACGACCGAGAAATCGAGTAGGTTTTGAAGTTGCTTAGCTTTGAAACGAGTAGGATGGATTTTGCAAATTAACATGAATAATCTGTGACTAGAGTGGAGCTTATTCAAATCGGATTTGAATAAGATTTGAGTTATTCAAATCACACCGATTTGATTTGAATCCGGGCTGCTTGTTCAAATCAAATCGATTTGAATTGGCGAAAGTCAACTCAAATCAAATCAAATCGGTTTGATTTGATTTGAGTTATTTGAACAAGATTTGAACAAGAACGAGCAAGTATTTTTTCTGGATTTATGCAAAATGTCAAATAATTATTCAAATCTCGGATGCAAAGTGGCATTTTGCCTTTCGCAACTTCAGAAACGGCGCCGACCGCATCGTTGAATCATTTTTGATCAATTCCAAACGCAAAAAGCCACACCACAACGTTTCTGACTGCCATTTTACCATTTTTACGCGAATTCGCCATGCTAAAAGCTGAAACCGATGTGATTACCATCCGTTCCAAATTTCCATACTCGATTTGCCTGTTGTTCAAATTGTTCAAATCAACTCAAATCACAGCAGATTTGATTTGAACTGTCGTTTCTTATTCAAATCAAATCGATTTGATTTCAATAAGAAAATTTTATTCAAATCGGTCTTGTTCCAAGCAAATCAGATTTGAGTTGGATTTGATTTGAATAAGCTCCACTCTATCTGTGACCTTCCCTTTACGGCTTCAAATGTCTACGCGACAAAACGCTATACCAAAATCGTACAACCCTAAAATATTCAACCTATAAAAACATAAATTTTCTAGAAAACACAGCCAAGTTCGATTTCACGCACCAGCTGAGCCGGCTTGATGATAAAGGGGAGATGAATGTCGTCTAAGGTATCGTTATCTTTAAGAGACAGACAAAAAAAATCGTATTTTTCTTATTTATCTATTTATCCTTATCTAATTCTTATTTATTTATCGTAATATTCTATTTATCTATTTCGTATTTATTTATCGTACTTATTTGTCTTTAGCAAGCCCCAACCCCCAAGCACACACCTTTTTCTGCGACGACGACGAGCCGATATTTTCGGTGGACGTCAAGGATGTGGTGAGTTGAGACTTTAGATTATCAAAAACCAGCACTAATCTGTTAACGGGGGGGGGGGAAACTACCTAATCTAACGCAGCAAGTATTTTTCTGGGGTCTTAGTTTTTGTTTGATATTAAAAACTCCTAAAAATTCGAATTTTTCGACAATTTTCATAGATTTTTAGCAAAAATCTATGATTGTCGAAAATAAAATAAGATTGTTAAATTTATTACGTAAAAAAGGACCTTAAAAGCTATTAAAAAGCTGTGTTTTTCATTATTTTTTGGCGATAGACCAAAATTAGCCCCCCCCCCCGCTAACAGTACAGAACCTAAAAAGCTTAATAAGCTATATTTTTTAGATAAACCAAAGGTTCAAAACATTAAAAAGCGCTAAAATTACCCAATTTTAGTCCTCAAACTGCACGGTCGAGCTGTACCTCTCCGGAATCCCCGGCAGCGACGACGGAAAGGAGAAATACAGGCTGATGCATTTTAAGTGAGAAGACGTTTAAAAACCGCTTACGTTATCAAAAACCAGCTCCACGACGTTGATCGGCTACATGACAAGCTACGTCCGGAGCCCTGCCGCTACGTTTTTGGTGCCAGCCGGGTGCAATGCTACGCTTATCGTAAAGCCAACCACTGGTAAGCAGAATCAATCAATCTCTAAATCTCTAAATCAACCAGATGATGTCAAAAAAATGTGCTTAAAAAGGTAGGGTTCGGAAATAGCGATAACGAAGCTGCTTCAAAAATTGTCGAAAAGGGAAACAGGCGTTCTTGAACTTTGGATACCCTTACAACCATCTCTATCATGACCGAATGAACTTCTACGAATTCTACAAGTAATCAATGACTTCAAATCCAGAAGCCGACGTCGTGGCCCCAAAGCCGGTGCCCCAAGCCTGGGGTTGGGTGATGAGCCACGAATACCCCGGGAATTTCGCGGCAACACCGGCAAATGTTGGACACAGGAATCTGACGATAGAATCTAGCTGGAAAGGTGAGAGAGAGGGAGAGAGAGAGAGAGAAACTCTAAAAACCACTTCCAGACGAAAATAAACCTAATTTCCCAATTTCCCGAAGTAATTTTCCCCCATTTAGGAGAAGCGTTCGTCGGATTTGACTTTGAATCGGTCGACCCAGGAAGCAGCGGATCGCTAGAGTTATACGCCGGAGCAATTGAGATGAAGTAAGTTTTTCAAAAGCAGAAAAATGGTAGTTATCTTACATTATAGTAGAAAAAATAACCGCTAATTTCACAAAACTACAAAGCACAAAATTAAATTGCAGTTTTACATAGTTCGCACAAGTTAAACTATAGAATCGAGCCTGAAAACCCCCAATTTCAGCATCACCAAGCAGGCCAACCGGACGGATATCGGCGGGCTGGGCAAGCAGATCAAGGTAAGTTATAAAAACTAGGAAAAATAAAAGCTAGCCTAAATTAAACTAAATTTTATCGATTCCAGACTCCAACTTACAAACAAAAAAATATGCGTTTATTTCGTTAAAAAATCGAGTTTTAGTTTTAAATTAAAGTTATAAAAGCTAAAGAAAATTAGAAAATCAAGAAAATCAGTTTCAGCACCAAACTATAAAACAAAAATCTATGTCACTATTTAGCTGTACTGGCGCCCGTCGGCCGACACAAAATCCGGCTTTCTGGCCCGTTTTGCCGTGCTCACCGACGAGCCGATCGTCGCGTCCACGACACGAAAACCCCAAGACGAGGACAACGCTGCCCAAAAGCCCTTCTTTTTCCTGTTGCCCCTCGCCTATTTTTTGACCATTTTGATAAGCTATTTCTAAACTAAAATCCTCAGTTTTTGTTCTCAAGAAATCGATAAATTTCGGGTTCTGTTACAACAGCAGCTTCGAAACTAAGTTTCGACGACTTCAGCAAGTACACAAGGTCTAATCGATGCTCCAAAACGGCTTAATAACGTTGAAAACTACAACCAAATAATTCCCACATTTTTAAAAACATAAAAATGATCAATTTCTGACAATTCTATGTTTTAGTTAATCCATATTAAGTCTTATATTAAAAAAGCCAAAATCATCCCCGAAGTTTTTAAAAATCAAAAACTGACCGACTTTCGAGAATTCTCCTACTTCCGGCGCGACGACTTGAGGGTGTTCAGCAGTAGATGAAGTCGCCCTTGTCGCAGTCGTCGCCGCTGGTAGAACCATTTCCTTCAAAATTAAAAAATAGATGAACCCAAAACTCTAACCGGCGAAGAAAACCTGAAGGAAGGCCGCCCAGGACAAAAAAGGTCACAAAAACGCAAGAAACCCATTTATCCGTAATGCACGTTGAGCAAATTGATGATGGCAAAGGCACGTTAACTGCAGCATCAACAATATAATCACAATATCACAATCGATATCATAAAAACAACAAAAAGTGAGATACTTAATTCCTATCGGACTAGATACTAATCAAACCACGAAAATCTACCATTTTAGACGCATTTTCGCAGGTGAAGCCATCCGATCAGCAACGGGAACGAGGCGATTGTGCACAGGTACGTGGTACGGACCTCAAAAAAAAATTTAAATTTTACTAAAAAATGATGAATCGGCAAAATGCCGACAAACGAAAAATCGAAACCCGATAAGCTGGCATTCAAAACGCCGACAAACGAAAAACGGGGCGAAAAATGCCGACATTCAACTACATACAGCGGAAATGTCGATTTTCGAAATTGCCATATGAAAATCAAGACAGATAAAATGCCGACAACCAAAATGCCGACATCCAAAATACCGACACCAAAAATGCCACATTACAGGAAAAGAACATTTGATTCTAAGCATTTTCGAGTCGGCATTTTGATCAATAGCCCTATGGTTTGTCGGCATTTCAGCTTGGCAAAATTTTTGTCGGTATTTTTGCTATCGGCATTTTGCATGGCCGCTTTTCGTTTGACGGCATTTCGACTTGTCGGTATTTTTCTTCAAAACCAACCTTTGTCGAAAATAACGGGGCCGCCAGCGCCGCCACAAAGAATATCGTCGATGGCAGCGTTTTGGCTATGGAGAGGGTGGGCTCGTCGGCAGAGACGACATCCGGGAATTCGCCCGTTTCTTCGAATTGCGTCAGTAACCTAAAAAATCAAGAAAATCCTGGCCAGCAAAAAATCCTGACCTGTCTTTCTCCTGGTATCGCTGATAAAGCCACGCCTTCAACGCCTGCTTATCGGTCGGCACCTCGGAGACCGGAAATCTAGAAAAATGTCAATTACTATAAAGTATTTGCTATCATAATGTCGAAAATCAGAATGACGAAATTTCATAACGTCGAAATTTCATCTTGTTGAAATTTCATAATGTCGAAATCTCATATTTTTGAAAATTCATAATGTCGATAAACAGAATGTCGAAATATTCATAATATCGAAATTTCATAATATCTAAATTGCATAATGTCGAGATTCAGAATGTCCAAATTCAGAATGTCCAAATTTTTTTTGCTTTGCATAGGAATCGGGGGTTTTTGCGGGAAGTTTATCTTATGTAAATTCAAACATCCTGAACTTCGACATTATGAAATTTCGACATTATAAAATCTTGACCTTACAAATTTCGACATTATGAAATGTCGGCATTTGACGGAAACACACCAAAAGCTTAGCCCACATACCTTTTAATATGGACACATAGACGACGCCCCTGGGCTCCGCAAACGTACTCAAACATTCCGGGCGCGATTCCGGTACGACCGGGAAGCCTGGAAAAATTGTTCAAAACCTTATTGAAACAGGAAAAAATTACAATTAAAATTTCCCTGATTAAAAAACTCACCTAGTCTGCCCGTATCCTATCGTAACATCGTAGACGGCGTCCAGGCTTTTCAGGTGCTCCCGGGCGAGGTGCAGTCCTCCTACGCGGGGCGTGAGTACGTGGGAGAGTTTTGGCATTCCCTAAACAAGCAATTTAAAAAAAAATGTTATTTCGGTTCGGTACCTCTTTCTCGCAGAATTGCTGGCTCGCCTCGATCAGCTTCGGCCTTTTGGCTGTGAATCTGAAAACGGAGATTTAAATTAACAATAAAAAAGTTTCTAAAAATTAAAAAATTAAAAATAAAAGTTTTGGAAGGTCTAAAGGAAATTTTTTACGACAAGACATAAACATATCTTTTCGCGGCATCTCAAGGGCAGGGTTTTTCAAAATCAAAATTACAAAATAAGTGTTTTAAAAGTCCAAGGAGGCAAAATCGATAGGGAATTCATGACTAACAAAAATCGACGCAACTATGACTTGAGTGTTTCTTTAAAAATACCAGGAATTGCCAAATCGACCCCTTCTATCTGCTAGGTCTCGCCAGCTACGCGACGTTCCAAAACAAGTACAAGTTGCTTTGAATTCTACCTAAATAAGGACGAAAGGTCCAAAAAAATTTTTTCCAAATATGTGTTTCCAGGAGTGTCGCGTAGCTGTCGAGATCTAGCCAGTTCTACGGGTCGATCCTGAGATGTCCCAGTCCCTTTAACCCCTCACCTCGTGCCTTCCGGGAAAATCAGCAGCCAATAGGGCTCCGGTAGGCCATCCAAAAAATGCAGCTGCCTGCGCACGGGCGTGCTGACAAACTCCCCGAATCGACGTACGTAGATGTAGCCGTGCTAAAAAAACCCACAGAAAAATCACTTTTTTAAACGTTACTTGAAAGATGTACCACCCAAACAAGGGCACATAGTGGATGGCGTGCTTGACCATGACGCGGAAGCCGCGCTCGTTGTCTTTTTGACGGGCCGCTAGTCCCATGATCACCGCCCAGTCGACTAAAATAGCACGTTTATTTTTACATAAATTTATAAATTTAATATATTTATAAATTTTCCACGTTTAAACGTTGCTTTAAAAACCTTTTCTTCTTTTTTAACGTTAAAAAAATAACTTTAAAACTTTTAACTAAACTTACACAAAGCAAAACATAAGTTTTCAAAAAAAATAAAAACGACTGATTTCGGGCAAATTTCAGGTAAAAATTCCCGGGTTTCCGAAATTCCAAAACGTGTAACATCTCTTAGTATACGCAAAAAAAACTACTTAAAAAGCGTTAGTTTTTTTAGCCAAAAAAAACTATGCAGATTTTTCGTCTGAAAATTACCGATTTGCAGCAAAAAAATAAAATTATTCCAATGTAGGTAGTTTTACCAGAAATCCTGACACCTAGCCAAAAAGGTTAATAAACTCTTTTTAACCCACTACTAGGTTAGACTACTAGGATACCCTGAAATACCTTTTTTGCCTAAAATAATCCGTTTCCGGCCAAAATTCGGTTAGTATAACTGCTCTAGCTTTCTAAATTTAGGTAGTTTTTCGCTGAAAGCCCGGTATTAAGACCAAAAACAAATAATAACCTTTCTAGTACAATTGATATCATATTCCAATTCAAGAAAATGTCGGTGTCTCTTGCTATTCCAAAAAAGAGATAACGCTGACCATTAGACTGATGATTCGACATTATCACCGCTCGTTCTCGGGCGCTCTTCAATTGTTCGACATCACCGTAGAGAGAAATCTAAAAAAACAACAAAAATTACCTAAATTGCACCCTAAAATACCTGGACACTTGACCAGTTCTCGAAAACAAGAAGAGACACAGCCGCATGTAGGCTTCGTAGAGGTGGTGGTCGAGCGTCTAAACAAATTCGGGGATCAGAATAAGATCAAAAACTACCAAAAACACGTCTTTTTGGTGCCACCCACGAAATGGCGCCGACACCGAGCGACAGGGTGGCGAATGGAACCTAAATATAAAAAATCAGAGCGTTTAAAAGGCCGTTTGCGAGAGACCCGAACAAGGCTTGGCACAGTTTTTTTCGACCCCATTTTTGATGCCATCTGATAGAGCGTGGTCGAATTAGAGGACTCGCACTAATTTGGGATTTTTAAATTATCATTTTCCTGGTTAAACAAGGCGTTAAAGTTGCCAACGTCGAAAATTTATCTCGACGACTATTTGACAGAATTGGCTGAAACTTCGTGACTAGGCCTAATTTGGGATGGGGATCATTTTTCTAATACATCGCGAAGCACGAAAATTAGCGGAACCTAGTTAAATTGCATACCCAAAACAGTTTTTGCCGAATTTCAGATTAACGGCGAGTCGGCCGCAAGCTGGAAATCGGCTAGAAAGATGCGCAAAATTTTTCTGCATCGATTGATGTATTATTTAGGTGGCGGCCAGGTCGCCGTTTTCTCACAGCGAGCTTTTTATAGCTGAAAAATGGTCTGAAAATCTGACTAAAATGGAAAATATTGTAGTATTTACATATCGGAGTAGTCAAAACCCATTAAGAAATCATGCCAAGTCGATTGCAAAAAAGAGCAAAAAGAAATTCGGCTTCTGAGAGGGAGCTGGGATTGAACTGGCGGTGGCTCTGGATTGGCACGCCGACGCTCTACTCACTGCGCCACAGGGCTCCCAGGCGGAGGGTCCGGGTTCGATTCCCGCCCAAAACAGGCACCCCTTCCAAATGTCGAATTTCTTTTTTGCTAATTTTCACGTTTAACAGCGTGATCGTTAAATGTGATCCCGTGGGTCAAAACATTAGAAAATCGCAAAATTTTCCATTTTAGTCAGATTTTCAGACCATTTTTTAGCTATAAAAAGCTCGCTGTGAAAAAACGGCGACCTGGCTGCCACCTAAATAATACATCAATCGATGCAGAAAAATTTTGCGCATCTTTCTAGCCTATTTCCAGCTTGCGGCCGACTCGCCGTTAATTTGAAATTTGGCAAAAACTATTTTGGGTATGCAATTTAACTAGGTTCCGCTAATTTTCGTGCTTCGCGTGATTGAAGATCCCCATCCCAAATTAGGCTTAGTCTCGAGTTTCAGCCAATTCTGTCGAAGTAGTCGTCGAGATAAAGCACGACGTTGGCGGCACAACGCAACTTGTTTAACCAGGAAAAATGCTAATTTAAAAATCCCAGGTGGTACGATTCGCTCAATTCGACCACGCTCTATCAGATGGCATCAAAAAATGGGGGTCGAAAACAACTGTGCCAAGCTATCATGGGACTGTTCGAGTGACTCGCGGACGGCCTTTTAAAAGCTTACCATAGACACCGACAGCAACGAGCACGGGATCCACGCCCTCATCTCGTGCACGGCGTGTAGTGTTGATAACATTGTCCTGAAAACAGATAAAAAGCCTCTAATTACCCATAAATAAAAAGTCCTAGTCCGAATTCGGGGCGGATTTTTGAAACAATTTATTCTATCTGTTTTTAGACCTAAACACTAATAGTTTCTGTCTAAAACGATATTTTCTAGCATCGTTTTTCGCGCAGATTCTGAATTTGTGCGTTAGTCATAGCGAAAACCATATTTTGGAGCCTAAAACAAGATTATTCGAAAAAAAAAACTGAAAAACTATTTTATAAAACTTAACTTTAGAGTACAAACTACAGATACCCACAAGAAACATTCCGGGACGTCGACTTTTTGTAGTTTATGGTCTAAAGTCAATGTTTTGTAGTATAAAAATGTGAAATTCGAACTCGGCACCAAAAACTACGCCCAAAAAAAGCTTGCTTTTGAAGCCGAAAACTTGCTAGACAGTGCTGTTTTAGACCAGTTATTAGAATTTTAGTAACTTTAAGTAAGTACGACTCGTAAGGGGAAAGCGTATTTTCCAAAAAGGCGTTGAAAATCCAAAAAAATAGTGGAATAAAAACATTAAATCCATTATCGTGTAAATGTATCTTTTTGGCTCTATTCAACGCCACGAGGAAAACGATAAACAACTTGAACTTCAAAGCTTTTATTAGTAAAACCCGCAAAAAAGAACAACCAGGAGGGTGATCCGCTGGGAATGAGGTTAGTCACACGCAAAAAACGATGCATACAGAGACAAAAGGAGTATCCATAAGCAGTATTATTAAATACGCAAAAAAGGGAAGTAGAGGCAGTGGGAGGGGGGTTATATCACAAGTTCTTTGGAGGGTTTGTGCATAAGAGAGTAACGGGAGAAGACACAATATTGGAGGGCACCGAGGACCAGTGGCGTGCCGTAGAGCACGTATTGAACTGCGGCGCGGAGCGCCTCAGTTGAAAGTTTGTCGACGAGGTAGGCCTGGAAAAATTACTTTAGAGCGAGAGAGCGTGCGAGAGGAGTGCGAGAGAGAGAGCGAGAGTGAGTGAGAGAGATCGAGGGATAAAGTAGCAAAGTTTGGATCCAGAGCAAGAGGCAGCTGGAGAGAGGCAGTGAGAGCAAGGTAAAGCGAGAGCGAGAGAGAGAGAGAGAGAGAGAGAGAGAGAGAGGGCGAGCGAGAGACAGACATAGACAGAGAGAGAGAGATCCTGACCTGATATCCATAAGCGTTGAGCAGCTGCACGATCAGCACCGGAGCGACGGATTGGGCGGGCTTGGTGAAGAGGGCGTTCAGCGAGAAGACGAACGACGAGATCGGCGAGCTGAAACATATGTAATTTTACTAAAAAAGACGTTCTAGCAGAGATTCTTTAGGAAAAGCGCAGGCTAGCAGAGATTTTTTAAGAAAGGGCAGGCTAGCAGAGATTTCTTGGGAAATAAAAAAAACACGTACCGTCTGGAATACCGCTTCGTGTCCTCGTCAATGTAGTCCGAGATGATGATGTTGAACAACGGGGCGGCCGAGTGGACGGTGATTCTGTAAAACGGATTGAAAATGAATTAAAATCAGTTTGGATTTACGGAAATGTAAAATTAACAAAATAAATTAGAAAACGAGGTCAAAACTTACGCATCAATGAGCATGAAAAGCATGACAATGTAGGGCCAGCCGGAGAAGAATGAGAAGCAGATGGCAGTGATGGCGGAGACGAGATAGCTGAAAATTACGATTTTTCAGAAAAATGGAAATACCTAAAAAGCAGCAGCCTCCCCGCGCCGACCCTGACCACCACCTTTTCGAGCGCGATGATGATCAGCTAAAAAATATGTAGAAATAATTTCTTTTTAACATTTGTAGGTTCTTTCGCATTATCGGGGGAGGGAACCAACGTTTTTCTCAGGAGTTGATTTTGCTAATACAAATAGTGGATGTGGTTCTAAATGGTTTTTACGATGGCTAAACGTGAAAACTATACAAAATTGTATGAAGAAAAAGTTAGAAATATCGATTTTTCGAAGAATGGCCGATTTTTTACCAAAATTCGAGTTTTCCAAACTTTCAAGAATTTTTCGATAGTTTTCTAGTTGAAATATAGTTATTTTTCAATAACAAACTATGAAGCACTTGTCATCAACTTATTAGACCTTTCTAGAATTATAAAAAACCCCGATAACGCGAAAGAACCCATTTTTACCTGCGGTCCCAGAGTGCAAAAGCCGTAGAAAACGCTGAGCTTCAGGCTGCCGCGCGGCAAGATGTCCTGCGGGACGAGGATTTCCGTCGTGATCGATGCAAAGTTCAGGTGGGCGACGCTTCTAAAAAATTTGGGTTGGAAATGGCTCTGTGATATTTCCAGGGCGTTTTTCTTAGGATTAATTTTCGTACTCAAAATAGAGAAAGTATTTCTAAGCAGTTATTTCCGATTCATAAGCGCAAAAGTGTGCAGATTTCTGCTAAAAAAATCAAAATACATATCGAGTTTCGGTTAAAAATTCTACAACAATTGTCCAAGTTTTTTTATGGCCCTTGAACTTCAATAATTTGAATTTTACAACATTCCACTCAATTCCCGTTAAAACGTTGCAAAAAAAAGTGCTAAAACTAAAAAAAACCGGTTTTTCGCGCAACTGCGAATGATTTTCGAACAAAATTTCGAAATTCAACCCCTTTTTAATTTTTCTAATTAGGTTTATGCCTTAAATCTGGTTCAGTTTCACGAAAAAACCCTATTAAAATACGTCACATTACTATGCAGGTATCAACGGGCAGAAAATAATTTGATGCAAACACATTTAAAAAACGCATTAAAAACGAAGGATAAAGTCCATTAAAAATGCGAATCACCTCATAATATGTATAAAATTGGTGGCGATGATGAAAAGGAAGTCGTGCTGGCGAACGGTTTGGCGTGTCAACTCGAAGGCGTGGCTCAAGTTAACCGGTTCGTGCTCGGAAATTGCGGCTTCATCTCCATTTAGAAGCCTTTCCTCGTCATCTTTTTCCCTAAATAACAGAAAATGAAAACTCTTCAAATCTATAAATCCATAAAATACATTTTTCGGTTCTTTTACATTATCGGGGGGACTTTATCCCAAGGGTCCAATTTTTCGAATAGAAATAGAAGAAGTTTTCTAAAATATAATTTTTACTATTCCTAAACGTAAAAAAATAAAAATTTTTAGTAAAAGGATGTAAAATTTCGATTTTTCGACCTAAATGTGACCAAAAATCTTCCAAGTTTTTTATTGTTTTCGCTTTGCAATAAACTAGCTAAACAACATTACAATATGTATTAGTAAGTTACTAGGCATTTCTGGCCCATAGGAAAAATTTCGGTTTCCCCCCGATATTGCAAAAGCACCCATGTTTTAGAACCAGAGGACCGAAAAAGCAAAAAATACAACATTTCTCACCTAGAAATCGGCAGCGTCGGCCGATAACTTCCGGCGCTGAGCAGGCAGAAAAGCGCGAGCAGCGCCATCAGAATCGCGCCCGTTTGAAAGGCGGAAAAGTTCTAAACAAAAGAAATCTGCTTATTTTACTTAACAGCTTAAAAAAATTAAAAATCACCTCCAAGCTGTGGCTGGCCTTCTCCATGATCGCGATCCCATTCACCGAGCCGAGAATCGCCATCTATATCAGAAAACTAATTTTTTAAAACGTCAACGAACCTGTGAATATTTCATGGCTGCAGCCCTGGATCGGGCATCTTTTGTGCTGTCGGCGAACAGCGCTGCCCAAGAGACGCCCATCGCACTGAAGAAATTCAAGGTAATTGAGCAGGGTTTTTCTTGGTTCTTTCGCATTATCGGGGGGGGGGGGGCAATTTTTCTTAGGATCCAACGATTCGAATCTAAACAGCGGAAGTGTTTCCACTATTTTTTCTACTATTCCTAAATGCGAAAATGTTACAAATGACTAAAAATCCAAAAAATATAGATTTTTTCGGCTAAAAATGGCCGATTCTCGACCCGATTCGACCCAAAAATATTTAAATTTCGTTGGTGTCGTTCAAAATGGTCCCCCCGATATTGCAAAAGAACCCTACCGGACTTTAGCAGCCGTTAAAAATTTTTTGCTAAAACTTTTTCTAAAACGTCTTTCTAGCCATTTTCATTTACAGGCAGCATTTTCCAACAAAAAACCTGAATTTTTAGAATGTTTTTATGCTTACAAACGACGTAAATTCCATCAAAATCAAGGACACCCGCGGATAGAATTACCAATTTTTAGAAACGCAAAAATTTATACCTAAAGAACGCATCGTAGAGGAAGAGGGCGCAGATGAGATGAAGCCCTTCAAGCCACGAGCCGCTGATATCCCAGGGAAACCTAAAACAATAAAAAATAATTAATTTTTAAAAACTAACCATAAAAGAACGAATGATCCACACAAAAACGGGGAAAACCGCGTCAAAACGGCCGTCCGCGAGCGCATCCACCCAGTGTTGCTGTCCTAAACATAGCGTAAAAATTCTAAAAATTCAATTACTTGTAGATACCCGAATAAGGGGTCATTCACGGCATTCCAGACCATAAACAGCGCTTGGGCGACGTTGAACCACCACTGGGAGACGTGGAACACGTTCAGGTAGACCTTCACGTAGAAGAACATGAAAACCACCTGGAAATCGGGGGTGTTTTTTTCTGCGCCTAAACTTTCTAACGCAAAAACACTAAAGCAGGCCCTCGAAACGCGATTTTTTTTCTTTTTCGCCATATCGGAGCACTTTGGCAATATCGGGGGGAAGTAAACTACTTTCTGGGAATGCAATTTTTCTTAATGCATATAAGGAGTAGCTTTACAAATCCTACTATATATAAAAAAATAGTGTTTGTGTGTGTGTGTGATACTTTGCATGCAACTTCCGTCACCATGTCCGGAGGATATCTCGATAGGGAATAACTTTTAAGGTATATTTGATACGTCATTAGGTGCGTAATGGCTCTGGGATGACTGCACGCTTATCAGATTTTACAAAACTAATTGTTTTAAAAAATTAAATTTCAGTTTATGTAAAAATTTCGGCCATCCTCTTTGTTAGGAAACAATTAGCATGCACCGGAAGTGGCGGTAGCCTATATAATCAGGTAGAGAGTGCCATTTTTCATTTTTTCTCATCGCAATTCGAAAGAACTATGCAAAGTGAAGAATTTTATGGGGTTAGACGGGGCCAGGGTTGAAAAGTCGCGAAGCGGCTTTTCAACCCTGGTAAAAAAATAAAAGCTTTACAAATTTAACCTAAACTTGCCTCAAGATACCTAGACAAAACTACTTTACGTTTAGGAATAGTCAAAATCCATTTAAAAACCACCCTGAAATGTATTAAGAAACTTCGGTCAGAAAAACTGCCCTTATTGTCGAAAAAGCGATTTTTTTTGTGCATTCGTCCACAAAAATTTGTAAGTCTTACGTGTAGTAATCGTAAAAACTCAAAAATTTTACCTGTAACAGACTTAACGCAAACTGCGAAGCCCCGATGGCGACGAGCGGGCTGGACACTTGGACGCCGAACCTCATTGTGATGTGCGGCCGGAGGTTTAACGATTTCCATCTGTGGGTCTGTTCCTCATCGTGACGAGCTTGTTTGCGCTTTTCCGGGGCGGCTTTTTGCCCGTCGACACGATATTGCAATTGGCCACGTGACCACGTACAACCATAGACACAACAAGTTGCAGTTTGTTTTGCAGAGTTTATTCGAGCAAAATACCATAAAAAATACTAATCGTACAAGGAAACACGGTTCTTTGGCATTATCGGGGGGGGGGGAGATTTTCTTTAATAATCAGTGTTTTTATAGTGTTCTGATTAAATAATTGGATTCCAAGAGACAAAATAATCTAACCAAACCTTAGAAAAAATTTTGGGCTGAAATTTTTGTCAAGAATCGGTATTTTTAAGCGAAAAATCGATATTTTTTGTAGTTTTTCCCCAATGTTAATAAGTTTGTAGGGCTCTATCCTAATAGCGGGGACCATAGAAATTATCGTGGACCATAGAAAATATCGGGGACCATAGAAAATATCGTGGACCATAGAAAATATCGTGGACCATAAAAATTATCGGGGACCATACGAAATATCGTGGACCGATCGCGAATATCGGGGACTTTAAAATCGGCCATTTATGCCAAAAATTCGGCTGATCGATACCGTGGACTTTAAAATTTGGACTCCAGCCGGACTAATAGAAATTACGATAAGACATTGAGAGATTGATGCATTTTACTCAACCTTGATGCTGCTGTTGACGTTTTTTTTCACGTTTTCCGCGGTTTTCTATCTGTCAATATCGTGGACCATAGCCCGGCTGGAGTCCAAATTTTAAAGTCCACGGTATTGATCAGCCGAATTTTTGGCATAAATGGCCGATTTTAAAGTCCCCGATATTCGCGATCGGTCCACGATATTTCGTATGGTCCCCGATAATTTTTATGGTCCACGATAATTTCTGGTCCACGATTTCTATTGTCCCGTTTTTCTATGGTCCACGATAATTTCTATGGTCCCCGCTATTAGGATAGAGCCGTTTGTAGTCTTAACGAGAGCAAAAAACTGTTTAGAAACACTTACTTTATTTATATTAGCAAATTGGATCCTTAGAACCCCCCCGATAATGCTAAAGAACCGAAAATACAGGTTGCTAAATGTATCACAGGGTGGCAACGGTTCTAATAAATACAAAGCACAGAAAAAAGAAAAATTCACAAAAATTAGCGTGGATGCATGATGCCTCGGCCGCCATCGACGCGGAGCAGGTCGCCGGTGGTGAACGAGCTGTCGTCGGAGGCGAGGAAGTAGATCGCCTAAAAAATAAGATTAAAAAATGGGACTTTTTGAAATTTTATAAAAATTATTCTGAAGCGTATTCCGACGTAGTTTTGTGCGTAGAATCAGAATATCATGGACAGAAACGCTTGCTTTGAAGAAACTAAAACGAAAAAAGTAAAAATCAATTTCGATTTATTCTGATTTTACAAAATTATTCCTGAAGCGTATTCGGCGTGGTTTTGTGCGTAGATTCAGAATACCGTAGTCCGAAGCGCTCGCACTCGTGGAAACAAACACGAAAAGTGGGCTCATAGTACGAAATACGCCTCTGGTCAAAATGTCACCTTTTGGCACCATGGCAAAAAGCAGAAAATGAAATAAATAGTATTCTCGATAATTGTAGGCTAAGTAACAATTGCAGAAATCGACTTGATAAGCTTCAAATGCTCCAAAAGCGCACCTTTGCGACTTCAACGGCTTCCCCAGGTCTGCCGAGGGCGTGCGTCGTTTTTGAATGCTCGAGGAACTACAAAAAAAGACCAGATAAATCTTTCTCGAAAGCAAATTCCACCTTTTTGTACGTCTCGTCATTCTGGCCGGCCCGGCGGTGCAGTTCCGTCACGGTCACGCCGGGACTGAAAATAAAAAATTAAGTTAGTTTTTTTTTACATTTATATAACACAAATTAGTAATTAGTAATAATCGTATTTTTAAATTAATAAAAACTCACCAAACAGCATTGACTCGAACGCCGTGCGGGGCCATCTCCAGGGCCAGACACTTGGTGAATTGATCGACGGCCGATTTGGACATGCAGTAGTAGGTGACGTTTGGGAACTAAAAAAAATTGTGGGGTTTTTTCAAGCCGCAAGCCGGTAAATTTTTTAGCTAATTTTTTATTGGTTTTTGTCAAGACGTCATGTTTCCGATGTAAAACTTTTAGCTTGTTTTTAATTGGCTTTTTTATCGAGATTGTGAACTGGTTGCAGATTTAGCCTACAAGCGGAAACGGGGTGGCTTTAAAAATAGTAGAACTTTAATAAGTCGAAATTTCGGAATATAAACATCTACTACGAGCCAAAAATCGCGGAAACGCCTACCGGGCACGGGCCGTTGATGCTGCTCACGTTGACGATGGTGCCCTTCTGCTTGATGATGTGGGGTAGGGCTTCTCGTGTCAGCCGGACCAGGCTAAAAGATAATTTATTTAGTTTTTACTAAAAATTGAATTTAAAATTGGACAAAATCTATATTTTTGAATCCATTGTATTTTTCAAAAATTGGTATTGAATTGTAAAAGCCACGAAAAGCGCTATACCTTCTGACATTACACTCCATCACGCGATCGTAGACGTCGATGCCGGATTCGAGCACCGGGCCACTCGTCAGGATCCCCGCCGAGTTAACCTTAAAAAAAATAGATTATTGGGTTAATCATATAAATATACCTTAATCTATTTTTAATAAGACTTTCTATTGATCTAATAAACTTATTATTGGTTCTATACTGGTAACTGATTTGTACGAAATTGGGGATTTTACTTTCCTACTTAACCTATATTACGTTTTATTACATTTTATCAAATCTTTTTTTTTACTAATACTCAAAAACAACTAAAATTACGGCATTTTTGCAAAAATTACAAAAAGTTCTGTTTTTAAAGCTAAAAAGCGTAGGAATTCAAAATAAGCTTTCAAACCGCCAAAATTTATGATATTCCCCAGAATAACAAAAAAAACTCCACCAGGGTGTCGATTTGGCCGAACTTGTCGAGGGTGTGGGAGACGATTTGGGAGGGGGCGCCGTCGGCGGACAGGTCCGTCACCGAGAAGGTCACCTAAAAATTCATGGCATAAATAGTAATTAATAAGCAAAATTAAACAATAGTAAAATTAAGAAAATTAGTATTTCTGTTTCCGGAAGCCATTTTTTACGCAAAAGCTTACCGCATTTTCCGGGGTGCCGCGCTTGATGCACTCGGCGGCCAGCTCCTTCAGCGCCGATTCGCTTCAAAGCAAAGTTAAAGCAGGAAAAATAAAACGACTCTACCTTCCGGTCAACGACAGCTTGAACTGCTTGGAGGCGAAGAGCAGCGCGGCCGCCTTGCCGATGCCCGACGAGGCGCCCGTGATGATGGCCACACGTGAAGCAGCCATCTCTGAATTTAGGAATGTAAATAAATAATAATATTTAGAATAAGGTAAAGCTGATAAAAAATAGAGCACAAAATTTATAAATTTCTGATCACTGTCCCGAGTTTTAAACCCATTTAAAACTGTAGAAACCTATGAAAAAAGGCTTTGGAAAAATAGGAATTTAGAAGCAAAACGTCATTTTTTATTTTTATATTCCGCTTGAAACCTGACTTATAAATTTTATGGAAAAAAACATTAAAAAAAAAATCGGAGATCAGACTCAAAATAAATTTTCCATTTTTTAATCGACATTTGCAGTTTCTAAATCATTTTTAACTACAAAAAATGACGAATAATCGACGACACTCAGAAAAACTTAGCAATTTCCGCTCGATAACAGCAGCTTCTGTATTTATTTTGCCCCCCTAATTTACGATTATAAAAAAACAGTTTTAGAAAAATCGGAAAGAGAAATTAAAACGCTACTTTGGAGGTCGTTTTATCGAGATTCACAGCTTAAAACGTTAAAATTTAATGAAAAACTTTAGAAGAATCGGACGTGACCCAAAATAAAGTTTTTACCTTCTTTAAATCGATATTTCCAGTTTAAAACAACAAACTTTGAAAACTATAAGAAAAGCCTGGAATAAAGTTTGAGGAGCCACCAAAAAATATTATATAATTTTGATAAATAGGGCAGGTTTAAAAACCCATTTAAACTTTAAAATTACCAAATTCTAATGCAAAAAATAAAACTTTATTACATAGAAAATCCGATTGCACAAGAAAAAAGGACTAGATAGTTATAAATTAGCGAATAAAAAAAACACAGAAAAATATCCCTAAAAACTGCAAAATCACAGGACATCCATATTTATAGGAATGGAACAATTATTCAGCGCATAAAAAATTTACAGGAATAAAAAGAAGCATGCATTTAATTACAAAAATTCACAAACCGTTAAATCTAACAAACGGGGCTTCGTGTTTTCGAGGGATCCCATTGAACGCCGTCGAAGAAGTCGTGCTGCTTCAGCGAGGAAATGCCGCCCTGCGCCGCGCTCCCCAGACGTTCAGAGGGCTAAAAATAGAATATAGATAAATTTTTCACGGTTTTCCACGATTTTTAAAGATTAAAACGTTACAAATATTGCTAAAAAATACAATAAATAACGATTTTTGGACCGAAAATTCTAATTTTAAGCATTTTTCAAGTACGTATCCGAGTTCAAAAACGGCGTAAATCTTGCTAAAATAAATAGATAAGAGGTTTTAAAATAGTTTTCACGATTTTTGAAGATTAAAAAGTTAAAAAATTTTGGCTTAAAAATACATAAATAGCGTTTTTGGTTCAAAAAAATTCAAATTTCTGGCTTTTCTAGGTTTTCTAAGACATTTTCCAGTTTGAAAACAACGAAATTTGCACTGGAATAAGTAGAAAAATGTTTTGCAACTCGATTTACTACTTTTAAACGTCAGAAAATTATAATTTTGCTAAAAAAAACGGAATAAATATAGATTTTTCAACGAATCGTCAAAACTTTAAGCCTTCTTAAGTTTTATAGCTCCATTTCCGGATTTAAATATACGGTAAATAGGAAAAGAAACATGGTT